GTGATTCTGAGTCCGAAGAAGATTCTGCTTCTAAAGAAGAGTCAGAAGATGATGACTCTGGAAACTCTGAAGGTGAGTCAGATGGTGAATCTGATTCTGATCCAGATTTTGATGATGATCCAGAATTTGGTGGTGATCATGCTTCTAGAAGGGAAACTCTAAAGACGTAGGTTTTGGAGGACAAGCTTATAAAGATGATCAGGTTTCTAGTGGAAATCATGACTCTAAGGATGGACCTTCTGAAGGAGGAGCTTCTGAAGGAAATTCAGCCTTTGACGATGATCATGATTATGAAAGTGGAACTTCTGAAGGCAGAGGTGATCCAACTTTTGAAGAAGGTATTTATGAAGGTAGTGGCTTTGACTCTGATGATGATTCATACCCTGGGAATTTTCAAGACTCTGAAGACAATCAAGGTTCTGGAGAAAATCAAAACTCTGAAGTAAGATCTTCTGAAGGGGGAAGTTCTGGTGTCCAAGGTTCTGAAGATCCGGTTCAGAGGCAACAAAGAGTCAGAATCATCCCAAGAAGATTTGTAAAGTTTGACATGTTGCTAGACACTGAAGTAGACTCTGAAGGAGAAGTTATTCAGTGTGCAATGTTAGTAGACTCTGAACCTGTGAGTACGGAAGAGGCTCTTAAGCAGCAAGTTTGGTTACAGACCATGAAAGAAGAACTTGATGATATAGAGAGAAACAAGACTTGAAAGCTGACAAAACTTCCAAAAGGCAATAAAGTCATCAACGTCAGATGGGTTTTCAAGCAGAAGCTTAAGCCAGATGGATCAATGGGCAAACACAAAGCGAGATTAGTAGCAAAAGGCTTTCTACAGAAGCATGGGTTAGATTACTTTGAAGTGTTTGCACCTGTAGTGAGACATGAAACAATCAGACTAGTGATTGTAATATCTGCTAATAGGAATTGGCCTTTGATGCATTTAGATGTAAAATCTGCATTTCTGAATGGTCCATTACAAGAAGAGGTGTACGTTTCACAACCTCCTGGATTTGAGAAAAAGAATCAGGAAGGGATGGTGTTCAAATTACACAAAGCATTGTATGGATTGAAGCAAGCGCCCAGAGCTTGGAATTTGAAGATTGATTCGTTTTTCAAGGAACAAGGGTTTCAGAAGTGTGAGATGGAGTATGGTGTTTATGTTCAGCATACTTCAGAAGATAATATGATTCTGGTCTGTTTGTACATTGATGACATATTACTTACAGGAAGTTCTGAACAAGAGATAGTTGAGTTCAAGAAAGTTTTGATGAATGTATTTGAGATGACAGGTCTTGGAAAAATGAGTTTCTTTCTAGGAATTGAGTTTATATGCTTTGAGAAAGTAATCATTTTACATCAGATGAAGTATGAACTAAAGCTTCTGAAGAGATTTGAGCTAGAAAATTGCAAGGTTGTTATCACACATGCTGATGCGAATTAGAAGTTGGACTCTGATTCTGATGGAGAGGGTGTGGATGCTATAACCTTCAAACAAATGGTTGATTCTCTAAGGTATTTGTGTAATACCAGACCTGATATTTTCTATGCAGTTGGAATGGTTAGCAGATTTATGAGCAAACCAAAGTGGTCTCATTACCAAGCTGCAATCGGGATTCTGAGGTATGTGAAGGGAACTCTGAAATATGAAGTGTTATTTTCGTCTGGAAGAAAGATCGAATCAGAACTTCCGAGTTATTCTGATTCTGATTGGTGCGGAGATAGAGTTGACAGAAGAAGTACTTCTGAGTACTTATTCAAATTTTTGGGAGGTCATATTTCTTGGTGTTCCAAGAAGCAATATGTTGTTTCTCTGTTAACCTGAGAAGCTGAATATATTGTAGGTGCTCTGACTGCATGTCAAGCTGTGTGGATTCTGAACTTACTGAAAGATCTGAAGATTGAGGTAAATAAACCTCTGAAGCTGATGATTGATAACAAGTTTGCAATCAATCTTTCCAAGAATCCAGTGTTGCATGGGAGAAGCAAGCATATTGAGACCAAGTATCATTTTCTGAGGAATCAAGTTCAGAATGGAATATTAGAGGTTGTGCACTGTAGCACCCAGAAGCAGCTGGCAGATGTTCTGACAAAGGCTATCAAAACTGATTAATTTCTTGGATTAAGGGATGGAATTGGCGTTGTCAGTTTTGGATAGATATAAATTAAGGGATGGTGTTAGAATTTATTTAGATTTAATTAGATATTAATTTATATTTAGAAATATCTTTTAGATTGTTTATATCTTTGTTAGAAGATATAAATCTTAGATCTTCTTATATCTTTGTAGAAGATATATTTTAGATTTAATTTGTGTGTATAAATAGCCTATTGGAGTAGGTTATTGTAATTCATTGTAAATCCTTATTTTTGAAGCTATCAGTAAATGTTCCTTTTGTCTTTTATCTTTCTTGTGCTCCAACAGTATATATGCATCTAGAAATTTTTCTTATACACACAACGTGCATTCTCATCCTAAGAAATTAAATCTTAGGCGAGTCTCTAAAATTGATGTTGCTTTGAATTTGTTTTGACTTGGCAAGTCTCACATGATAGAATGTCGAAGAAATGGGAATGTTTAGCTTCCAAATAGTCACTTCATTATGAAATTTTAAGAACATTTTAGATTTTATTTAGAAGAAGAGGATTCTATGGAAAATGAAATCAAAATAGGGAGTCAAAGTTTGGGACAGATGCAATATGAACACAACAACGGAGTCTTAATAAGAAGGATCTTAAAATTTGAAGGATTTTAATTATGAAATACCTCGAACTACATTGAGTGAAGCCCTCCTCAATACTCTTCTTAAGAATCAGTAAGCTCACACCAGAGTCATAAACTAAACAAATTCCAAATTTGATTATCTGGCCCTGCAAGCTTGCTAAGATCGGAATTCCTCTCCCTCTTAGGATGTTTAGTGATGATGATGAGGACATTGGGTAACCTTATCTTGTTTGCTTAATATTTTCCTTGCTTTCTTGTTTTTTTTCCTTTCAGTAACTCTTCTTTATATGAATGTTTAATTCTGTAACTCTTTTATTTATGGTTGATTAAGTCTTTTGAATTAATGTATCGACTTATTATTTATTTTCTTATGAAAAATCTTTCAAATATGTTAGGTTTGGTGTTTTTTAACTTTTATTATTGTGATCTATGTGAATGCGCCTCTTTTTCCATGCCCTTTTGATTATACCAAAAGGGAAAAGTATACTCTTAGAGGGAGTTGAGTTACTCTCTTTATATGTAATGAGGGAGTTTAGTTATCCTAAATCTTTAGTCGTTGTTTTCTTTGTTTACCCTTTCCCTGATAAATGTGTTTTCATCATACAAAAAGTGAGAATGTGAATTTATGTGCTTGAAGGTATGACCATTAGTTAGTTTTGATGATAACAACTTATGAAGCAAGTTTGAAGATAAAAACTTAATAGGTCAAACAACTTTTGAATGTTGAGAGTTTTTTGTGACATGAAGAGTTAATTTCAAAAATATTTTAATGATAGCACTTGATCAAGAATATATCTAAAGTCTAATCAGTAAGAAGATTCAAGTTCCAGCTGAAGTGCTAAATATTTATTATATGTAGCAAGGGAATCTTAAGATCAGAAGTTGTGAAAGTATGAAAGCTCGTCTGATCCTACGCATAGCGTCTTAGAGTGACCATCTTAATGTTAAAAGGTCAAGAGTAAGTATTGAATTACTAAGGCAATCACACACGCACACACATAAGATTTAAAACCCTTTCTTTATCATTAAACTTATTGAAAACCTATCAAGGCTTGTATGGAATTAATCAAGAAGAATTTCCAATAAACTTGTAATCAACCTCTTAGTTGATTAGAAAACTTATAATTGGTTAAACCATATAGTTGTTTTAGGCTTTTCGTTTTTGGATTAGGGTTTTCGCATTTTGAAAATTCTTAATCGATAAACAACTTAAAATAATCGATTAAGTTGTTAAAATGGCTCCTGGATCATTTCTTTTTTGAACCAAAATTTTTCTTATATAAAGATGGCTTTTCCCATTTATTTTACACCCAATTTATGAATGGAAATGACTCTATCCTTTCTTTTACTCTCTCTGTTTTCATATTTTCTTTTTATAAGAATTGTCGCAGTACCAAAAGACTGAAAATTCCTTTTGAGAGTTTTGTTGTTATTTGTGTTATAACTTAATTTGATGTATCTAAGAGTGTGACTTTTTGTGAAATTATTTTGTAAAGGTTGCAAGGTAAACCTTATTAAAGCTTATTTGAAGTTTCTTGAGCTTGACGTGTATAAAAGCTCTATTTGTAGGTACTTGAACTTGATCTGTATAAAAGCTTTGTTTGTAAGTTCTTGATTTTGGCTTGTAAACACGTCATGTATGAAGGTTCCTAATATGAATCTGTGTAAAATCTATGTCTGTTGGTTCTTGAGCTTATCCATTACAAAAGTTCTAGTTGTCTATTGTTGAAGGTTTGTGGGAAGATCATATAAAAAGCTCAAGTGTTTTTAATAGAACTATCAAGAGAAAACTCTTAGAAAAATGAGTAGGTCAAGTGGTTCGTTCGAACTTGTATAAATTTCTAGTGCATTCTCTATCTCTTTTTTTATTGTCCATTGTTTATGTTTTTTCCATTGGGTATCTATCTTTGTCTCCATCTTCATCTACAATGAGAAACAGGCTGCTTGACTTACTAGACACGTGACCCAACCTTAAGAAAGTGTTGAGCCTTATCTGGGAATCTGAGAAGTGGTATCTCACCTTAACTACACTAAGATGTTATTTGAAAGTGATACAGTGGTTGTGAATTGTTTCATTGGTTAGACAGTGGCAAGTATTACAAATGCTAGTATGAATTTAACAAAGCATTGGTCTAGTTTAATAGATTGTTCAGTTTCTTATAGCATAATTTGTAACCAAATGTAGATGATAGAGTTATTTACCAAGAACTCAATGCATTGATCATAGATAAACAAACGTACAAGTTTTCTTTTAATACAAATAAACTAGTCACTCTCTAATCTAATCTTCTTCGTCATCAGTTACAAACTGGCCAGTTCCAGGATTCAAAGCCGCAATGAAGAAGAAAGCAACATTGAACAACACTAGTGGTTCAATCTCATTGATTGGTACACCGGTTTCAATGTTGAGTTGAGCTAGTGCTCCCTTTCCGGTAATAATCTCTCCGATCAAAGAGAAAGCAAATCCCAATTGAGCCAATCTTCCAACAAACAGTTCATTGGATTTGGTGAATCCGAATAAAGGGCCTGATTTTTTATTCACAAGACAAAAAACAACCAAATTTTTAAAAATAATAGCGCAAGTGGTTGGTACGCAGAGTGTGTGAGTGTTGTGAAGTTTAAAGTAAAAGTTGATTACCTCCTTCGCTGAGACCGAGAGCTGCTCTAAAGCCTTTTCCAGGAGGAATAACGCCTCCGGTAGTAGGTTCATCATCGACGAATTTACCACGGTCACCTAGAGCTCCAATGGCTCCTAGAAGTGTGAAAATGATGAAAAATAAGAGGAGAGGCTCAGCTTCATAAATTGGAATACCAGTTTCCAAATTCAATTGTGATAGAATTCCTTTGCCGGTTACTGCTTCACCCAAAATTGATGCCTGCAAATGCAACAAACAACTTGTGCCATAAGTTATCTACCTTGTTTTTATTATGTTACATGTTATTATTCCTCTCAAATATGCCATGAAACACTTATTTTAAATCTTCCTAATGCATATAATTAATATGGTCCATCAAAAATGTTAATTTTCATGAATTACATTATATGATATAGAGATAGGATTTACTAACCGCAAAACCGATCATAGCAACACGACCAACAAAAAGTTCATTCTGTTTAGTGAAGCCAAATCCACCAGAAGTTCCAAACACACCATCTTCAACCTTTGGTTTTGGTTTAGGTACAACCTGAATATAAACATCATGAAATCAAATGAAGTTTTAGAATGTAAAAAATGTTACATTTGATAATATAGAAAAAGTAAATGAGTACTACTATACGTACCTTAGCAGGGGCTTTGGTCTTTGATTTGAATAGAGCCAGAGTTTTAAATGTGCGAGATGAAAAAGACTTTGAATTAGAAGAAAGTGGGTTGAATGAGATATCAGAAAACCTAGGCTTCAATCTTTGACACTGTAATTGAAGCAAAGGATCTTTGTTCAAGGTAACAGAATAGGTGCTGGAGACACTAGACATGAGCAACATAGTTTGAGCCATTGCTATGTTACCTTTGCCTTGTGTTGTGTGTTGTGTGTTGTGTGTGATATGAAATGTGTGTGTGGTATTATGCTAGAGTTTTACTGAAACATGGGTGGAGAATGGAAATATTATCTTTAATAAGGTGTGTGTGTGGATGTGGTGATTCATGTTAGAAATACTCAATGACAGGCAAATAATGTGACCACGTCTCGTTTAGTACGTGTGCTTTTTTTGTGATAATGTTTTTTTGTTTCTTTCATTTGAGGTATATTGAGATTTATGAACCAACATAATTTTTTGGGGTCATTAATATTACTTATATTAAGATAAATTCAACATCTTTCACTAATTATTTATTGTTAATTCAAATGTGATTATACATGATAGAAAGAAAAAAAACATGGATAGAAAATTAATAGAATCATTGCCTATTAACAATAAAACATAATAGAATAATTATTGTTAGGTAATAGCAATAAGTTCACAAGGTCAAATTATTGTTAGGTAATAGCAATAAGTTCATAAGGTCACAAGTTCAAGGTATGGTGACATTAAACATCAAATGATTGATGATGCGAATATTCGGTTACATGCTAAATTCTCGTTTTGGTGGAGAGATTTGTGCTCGATTTATTCTAGTAAGGATAATCTGAGTGTGAACTGATTTTGCTCTTCTATTGCGTGTAAGATGGAAAATGGTGAGTTATTCAATTTTTGGAAGGATAAGTAGATGGGTTCAATTTCGATGTGCAGGTTATTTCCTGCCCTTTTCTCTTTGGCATACGAGGATAATTGTCGGATCGTTGACAATGGTTTTTGGAGCGGACCAGTGTGGAAGTGGCGGATTCAATTTGTGGTCGGACTGGGCTTTTAGCCACGGCCGCTGATCTTTCTGATTTAGCGTAGCTGCTACTGCCGGTGCAGCCCGATCCGGGCCTCTTGGATCGTTATGTGTGGTGGAGGAAGCCCACCGGGTTTTTGGTGAAAGTCCTGCTACGAGATAATTATGTTTTCTGTAACGAATATTTTGATCATTGCGGAAGATGTGTTGGTGGATTTAAAATCGTTGTGAAAAACTAAAATTTGAAGTAATTCTCTCTTCTTTGGTTGACGTTTGTTATTGAATCGTCTTCTGTCTAGAGTCAATCTTTTTAGATGTCATATTTTGTTAGGTAATAGCAATTTGTGTTCTCCTCTTTGTTTTGGGGAAGTTGAAGATGTTGATCATCTTTTTGGCGGTTGTCGAGTTTCTCTAGTTTGGTTGAGTAAATTATATGTTTGGCTTTATTTGGATGTTCCTTTAGGCAATTTGTCTCTTCTTGATCGTCTTTCTTCTTTGGAGGCTGCTACGCGTTCCAAATTTCATTTGGATTTGGGTTAGATGTTTGAATTATCTATTTGTTGGTCGATTTAGTCGTGTAAGAATGTCATTCTCTTCGACGGTGGAGTTCTTTCTAATTTAGATGGATTTGGTATGATGAAACTTTTGTCTTGAGAGTGGTTTCTTTTGGCTTGTAAACCAGACGGTAATTTAACGTGGTCGGAGTGGTGTATTTCTCCTACTAGATGTTTAGGTTCTATTTAATTTTCCTTGGTTGTTGGCTCGGTGTTTTGTATCGTACTTTTGATGGATTGTGCACCCCTAGTGCCTTTTTTTATATGATTTATTTTCCTATAAAAAATAGAGTGTTTAGAAATACAAACAAAATTAATATTTTCTTTAGTAATAATAAAAATTTTGACTTCACTTTTTATTGATTTTTTTTAATTTTATGTGTGTGTTAAGCATTATAGATTTGGTCTTGTGACCATACACGGATCAAATTTTGATGTTTTTCATATTTCAATATCATTTTAAAAAGGGTTAAATATATGTTGTCCCCTACCATTATAACGAATTTTGTTTTCACCCCTATAAGAATATTTTTTGTGTTTTCCCCCTTATAAAATACAGATTCCTTTTTCATACACCCTTTTTGCACTATTTGGTTGACTGTGCGGTGGAATCTTCATAGTTGGCATTTAAAGGATGGGTGACTGAATTTATAAATTTTTATCTAAGGCCACGTCATAATTAATTTCATAAATGAAAATCAGAATGTTGCAGCCTCTCTATTCTTCTTCATCTTCAACCTAGGGTTTTTGTGTTCCATCGTTCCCTTCACGTTCTTCTTCATCTTCTCATTTTTCCATTACACTGAATTTGTTCTTCTACTCAATCGGAAGCATGTTTGGAAGAAAGTCAGTCAGAAGCAGCAACATACCATCCATTCGATTTCTAAGTTTACCCATGATTGGTTGCGGTTGTGCAATGAAGATGTGGGTCTCCAACACAGTTCAAAATCGTAATATGAAGTTCTGGAAATATCACAATTCTGGGGTAAGATTCGTGTTTTTGTAAATGTTGTTTAAAATAAAAAATTTGATCTTTAAGATGTTAACAGATGTCTAAATTTTTTTTTTGTTGAATGGGAATAGTTGTGACCGGTTTTTATGGGATGATGAAATTGGAGACTCTATGAAAGGGAATTGCAATATTCAAGCATTTTGCCAAAATTCTGAGATGGCAGAAGTGAAATTAGAAACCGCATTGAAGAAGTTAGTTAAAGCGAAGATGAAGGTTGGAGTTCAGAGGAAGATAAATGTGATGCTGAAGATGAAACTTGTGATGTCTTGGTTGATTTTTGTATTATTGTACAAGTTAATGTGATTTTATGTGGTTTGATGTATTTGGAAGTTATCTGGGATGAGTTGTTGTAAATTTCACGTTGGTGCAACTTCTTTGTATTAATGAAATGCTTGATTTTCTGTCAATCAATTGATAGCACCAAAAGTGTGCATTAATCATTAAAAAATATCCCCAAAAGAATAAGCATATGTCATTACTAAATAGCACCAAAAGTATGCATTAGTCATTACAAAATAGCACCAAAAGGGTGCATTAGTCATTACAAAATAACACCAAAAGTGTGCACTAGTCATTACAAAATAGCACCAAAAATATGCATTAGTCATTACAAAATAGCACCAAAAGTGTGCATTAGTCATTACAGTCATTACTAAAGGTCATAAATTAATTTTTTTTCTTTGGACCCTTCTTTGTAGCCTTCCTTGATTTTTGAGAGCCATTGCCTTCTTGAGTCAGAATTTCTTCTTCTTCTTCAGTCAAATACATTGGTTGGTCTGGGTTTGAACCAGGCTCTATGATTGGTTTTTTAAACCCAATTTCAATTTAATCCTTTCGCTGGCCTCTTTCTCATTGGTTTGGCTTCTTGTTTGACCTTAGCCTTGCCTTTTTGTTTTGTACTTGGTGAGTTGATGCTAGTTGTTGTTTGCACAGTTGGATTTATGTAAGGTATGGTTGACGTCATCTCATCAGTAATATCCACAAATAATCTTGTATCAGAAGCATCATTTAGACATGTAGCAATTCGTTGGTTTGTTGATCAGAAACATCATTCTGAATTGCATCAGTGGCAGTTGTACCACCCACCTTGAATTTGCAGATTTGTTATCCAAAACCCTAGCACATGTCTGGTTGTCTTTTATAGTCTTAATGGCATAAGTGTGCTTGTGGCCCACCTTAGAGCATAGCATTAAAAGACCACATTTAGCCTTGCATTCTACCCTCACCCTATAGCTCTCATTTTTCACAAAAGTAATTTTCCTACCATTTAAAACTGTTCACTCATGAATTGCCTCCCTAAAGTCATCTAAAGAATTGAATTTCATACCCAAATTAAACTTAAAATTATTATTAAGTTGGTATTTCCTAAACTTCTCAAACTTATGCCCTTTTTCATCTTCAGAATCATCTAGATCCGATTTGTATATCTCTTTACTAACATATTCATCATCTTCCCATTGACCCTTACTAGAATCGGTTATCAATCCAGCTATTATTGGACCCTCCTTAACTGGTATAGTAACATCAATTCCATTAAACCCATTTGCAATAATAATGGCTCTCTCATCCTTGTAACACCTTCCTAAATCCCAAGAACTATTCATAAATAATTCATACAATTAATCAGAGTATTTCACAAAAGGATGTCACATCTTCATATAAAACTTTATAATAAAACACTCTGCTTCGTAACACGAGTTCTCAATATCATTTAAGAAAAATATTTCCTTAGTAACATCAATTCAATACTTCAAAACTTCGAAGCGAAGTCATTATTTCAAAACACCTTATTATAAATACTTCATAAGATCTCATCATGTTCCATAAACAGAATTCAAAATAACTCGGTACCATGAAAGGTTACCCATCATCTTAGAAACAAAACAAAAGACATAAGATTCTTGATTCAAACGATCCAAACCCCGATGTTACATATCAGAGCAAGATCCACTTTATTCTGCGAAAATAAAATATACACACTTTGAAGCTATCCTCTAATGCTTTGACGACTACTCATGATCACCTGCGCGTTACCCACATAGAGGTAACATTCAAGCAGAAAGAGTGATTAAATTATAATAATTCTAAAAGACATAAGGAATAGATATAGTAGACATGCACATTGGAAAGGTATCACACATCATCAGAACTTCATGATATACTCACACCTTCACAACATCATCAATTCATAACATTATATCATAAAAACACCAATTAGCAACAAGCATCATTAAATCACATCATTATGCAATGTCACTTATAATGAAATGCAACATCATATACTCGTGCATGTGGTACCAAAACTTCACTGATGACTCAGTCATCGTTATCTCCAAAGATCTCCACCAATAGGATCGATTCCCACTTGGAACCAGAGCACTTCACAAAATTTCACTAAATCCACACCATGGGATTGAGGCCATCATTGGACCATAATGTCCTATATACATCATTGGATCAATATATTGCAAAATATCAGTGGACCGAAGTCCTACAATATGCCATGAATGCATGATGCGCAACAACATAATAAACACGGCCACGACTAGTCAAAACGCATCATCATCCATGAATTCATCACAATATCCTCAAACCATCATAATAATAAAAA